CTAGTCCCCTCTCTAGGTCCCCTCGCGAGTCCCCTCTCGAGTCACGTCTCGAGTTCCCCCTTGGTTCCCCTCTCGAGTCTCCTCTCGAGTCCCCTCTCGAGTTCCCTCCTCTAGTCCCCTCTCTAGGTCCCCTCGCGAGTCCCCTCTCGAGTCACGTCTCGAGTTCCCCCTTGGTTCCCCCTCTCGAGTCTCCTCTCGAGTCCCCTCTCGAGTCACGTCTCAAGTCCCTACCCAATGTCCTGGTCCGTTGGAGGTTCCGCTGGGGGTCCTGCCAACCCTTTGTCCTGTGCCGTTGGAGGCCCCGCCGACTACTCTCCTGCCGGGGGTCCTGCCAACCCTTTGTCCTGTCCCCTTGGAGGTCCCGCCGTCTACTCTCCTGCCGGGGGTCCTGACAGCTCCTTGTCCTGTCTCGTTGGAGGTCCCACCGACTACTCTCCTGCCGGGGGTCCTGCCAACCCTTTGTCCTGTGCTGTTGGAGGCCCTGCCGACTACTCTCCTGCCGGGGGTCCTGCCAACCCTTTGTCCTGTCTTGTTGGAGGTCCCGCCGACTATTCTCCTGCCGGGGGTCCTGCCAACCCTTTGTCCTGTGCTGTTGGAGGCCCCGCCGATTACACTCCTGCCGGGGGTCCTGCAAATCCTGTGTCCTGGTCCTCTTCCGTGGGGGATCCTGCCGAGGCCTGTCCCACCAGCTCCGACACCGGGTCCTGCCCGGCCTCCGGCACTGTCCCGTCAGTGCCTTCCTGCCCGGCCTCGGGAGCTCTCTGGTCTTCGCCCTCGAGCCCGGGCCCCTGAGAGCCGCGGTCTTCGCCCTCGAGCCCGGCCCCCTGAGAGCCGCGGTCTTCGCCCTCGATCCCGGCCCTCTGTGAGCCGTGGTCTTCGCCCGCGATCCCGGCCCCCTGACTCTTCCTGCCGCTGCCTTCGCCCTCATGCTCGGCCGCCCGAGTCCCCCTCCTTAGACTCTGCCTTGCCCCCGGGCCGTCCGCCCGAATCCCCCTTTTGAACTCTGCCTTGCCCCCGGGCCGTCCGCCGGAGAACCCCTCCTTTAACTCTGCCTTGCCCCCGGGCCGTCCGCCCGAGATCCCTTCCTGGTCCTCTGCTGTGCTCCTGGGTTGTCAGCCCAGACCCGTCCTCCGGACCCCCTCCACCCACCCTGGTGGCCCTAGTTTTGTGTCCCTCCTCCGGTCCCCCACCAAAAAAAACAAAACAATGTCCAGCAGGGTACCCACCCTGCTGGACATTGTTTTGTTTTTTTGGTGTTTTAGGGACGTCTGGAATTCGTCCCTTGAGGGAGGGGTACTGTCACGATCTGCCTGTATTGTATTTTGTCTTGTCTTGTTTCATGTTTTATGTTGAAAGGTCTTCACTTCCTGTCTTGCCTGTTTCTGTCTGCGTTGTGTCTTGTTTAAATCTGTCTGTGGTTCCCGGTCGTTAGTTTCCCTGGTGTGTCTAATTTACCCAATTGTGTTCACCTGGTGTCCCTGTGTTTTCTCCTCCCTCCTCACCTGTGTCTTGTTTCTGTGATTAGTCTTGTGTGTATTTAAGTTCTGGTTTTTCTGTCTGTCTTTGTCGGTTCGTCTTTTGTCATGACTAGTTCGTCGGTGAGTGTTCTGTATTGTCTTTGTTGTTCACCTAGCCTTGAAATAAAGGAATTCTCACTTTAATCTGCATTTGGGTCCTACCTGCTTCACACGCCGTGACAGTCACGATTATATCCATGGTTCCTCCTTTTGTTTCATACGTTATCCTTTATTCCCATAGGTACTTTAATAAATGTCTTGGAACACACTATACTGATGTTCAATACAAGATATAGGGAGAATTGAAATGTGAAATAACATTTATATCATATAAACAATTATAACCTCTGCTACAAAACTATATTATTACCATTATGTTTTACTATTGTTAAGGGTTATTTCTACACACGCAAGCCTCTATGAAGCCAAGTAACTGCTCTTATTTATTTTAAGGCTGGAACTATGTTACATCTGAATGGTTTACAATCAGACATGTTTTTTTCTTCTTCCACAAGAGGGCAATACAGAACAGAGGCATCCCATCATCTGTTACCACACAAGTTTTTGACCTACTCTCGGTGCTATATAGACATTCTGAAGTGTAAGCTGTCAAAGAAATCAACCAGATGAATGTATTTCCTTGCTCTAGAAAATGTCTTACAGCCTTTCAGCATGAGCTAAGTCACTTGGAAACGGGGGACTTTATATTGTTAAGGGATATTCCATGTTATGTGTTTAAAGGTCTCATGTCATGGCCATTTCTACTGATCATATTTTCAATGTTGAGGTCTACTAGAATAGATTTGAATTGCGCAATTCTCCAAAATCACATTGGAGCATCTCTGTATAGTGTGTGTATTCACCAGGTATTCACTCTCTGTCCTAAACGGCTTGTTGGAGCTCCTTCCCCCCCCCCCCCCCCCCCCCCCCCCCCCCCCCCCCCCCCCCGATACAGCGAGACACAGCGAAACTCATCCTGAGCACACACAAACACTCACAGCCGAAGTAAAAACAATAAGTGTGGCGTGTGGCTTGATATTGAGTAAGAAAAAGGTTTATAACGCTGAGAGCATGGGTCTGCGGAGAGCATTTCTCCGCAAACCCAACTCGTCTATTACCAGCGTACATTGAGCTCTGTGCAAGCCAATGGGGACAACCTGTTAGTTATAGCCAAGGGATCCTGGTGTGTGAGGTGCTTCACGGATTGGACCAATCCGGTCATTTGTTGTTGATTTGGGCATTGACACGTCAGAGAACCCAGGAAGAAAACAATGGAAAATGAGAAATCTCCAACGAGGCGTTCTGGGGCAGCATATAGGTCTTTTCTGTGTTAGAGTTTTACTCGCTACAGGGTGTACTTTGAGGGTTTTTGACTCTGCAGACCGATTATATGCATAACAAGCTACATAACACACAAGGGGACGGGTAATAACCGGAAAAGCATGACATGGGCCCTTTAAAGAATTATTGCAGTCACTAAAGCTGCTTTTGTCAGGATTTCACAATTTAGTTGTTTTGCACTGTAAGTCGTTAGTGGTCAAAATTCCGATGGGTATGCAAAAACAGGTTCTCACACTTCCTGTCAAGGATTTATTTTGTTGATGAAGATGAAGGACGATTATCAGCTTCAACCAGACCACAGACATGCTGAAAGTGTCTGGCATTTAAGTTTCTGCCAGACACTTTCAGCATGTCTGTGGTCCGGTTGAAGCTGATAATCGTCCTTCATCTCTGCTGTCTACGTAAGATTTACTGCAATGCCTTCATAAAGCTCTATTAGGTCTATAGACAATACAATCACTTTAAATTCAGTATAACTATCACTAATATAGCCAGTGAAGCATTTTCTCCTCCTTTATATAAAACATTAAAAGTAGGGCCGGGACTTTAACGCGTTAATTAAGATTAATTAATTACACAAAAATTAACGCGTTAAAAAAATTAACGCATTTTAATCGTACTTATTTTTGCACCGCGGAACGTTTCTCACTGGATGAGTTTCAGGCGTACCGATTATACTGGAGCACCAACTAACGTTCATGACTTCAGACAACAACAAACCACGGTGAACAACAGTGGGAAATGTTGTTTTAAAAAACGGACGGATGGAAGCGTTGATAAGAGCACGGTTGTGTGCAAATTATGCAAAAAGGAATTCGCATATCACCGCAGCACATCAAGCCTCAAGTATCACCTCAATGCAAAACATATAGCAGCTAGCGTGGAAGCTAGCGTGGACGTTAGCCTCTTTTATCGCGTTCACACCAAAAAGAGCCGGTACTAAAATTAGTTCATGAGAACCTTTTTACCCCCACGAAAGTCCCTGCTAGAGAGCAGGGACTTTCGTACGGCTCTCTTGTGAGAAAATAGCTATATTTCTGATTGGCTGGGCGGATTGCAAACCACGCCCCGTAAAACTCCCAAAAAGTTTGGTGAAGCCGCCATTTTATTATCCTCGCATTAGCATTATTAGCATTAGCCCAGCGCAGAAAACGCAGAGAGACTAACTTATGGCAACACAAAATAAAACATGGGAGCGGTGGAGATGAGGAGGTGTCGGCGTTCTGGCGATTTACTCGGAAGGCTGCTGGGACTCCCCAGCAGCTTCTACTGAAGCCAGTCCCCAACTCCGGGGACTTCCGGCCGGGGACTTTTGGCGGCAGTATACGCCGTGAAGTGGTTTGCGGCCTGCCAGTAAACCCAAAGCAGAAGAAGAAGAAGTGACGTCAGCGGCTTAATTTGTTCTCATGAACTAAGTTCTCATGAACCTTTGTGGGAAAAGTACTGCGGTGTGAATGCGCCTAATGGTATACTAAAATCCATGTGAAAAAAATTGCTTCTCACTGTTCTTAGGTCAAATATTTATATGCGATTAAAAATGCGATTAATTTCGATTAATTAATTACAAAGCCTCTAATTAATTAGATTAATTTTTTTAATCGAGTCCCGGCCCTAATTAAAAGATAATATCTCCATTGCTGTTTTATTTCTCAACTCAAAATATTCAAGATTCAAAGGCTTTAAAGTAATATGCAGCTACAGTGTAGACATGGCAATGCAAATAAATTAAAAAAACTCCAACATTGCAACATAGTTATATTGGACATGAAATAATAAAACAAATTACACAATTGATTAAAAAAAATAAGAAAAAGTGCAAGAAGAAACAGAGTAGATTAGAAAAAGCAATGTTTTTTTTTCCTGTGTGAAAGTTGAATTGAAGTTTTTCTTTTTTTTCAACATTTGTTTCAAACACACTTTCTTCTTCTGCTACAGTTGACCCAGTGCAACTCCATAACCCATCATGTTGTGATAATATATTGCCTTAAGTGAGGTATATAATAGTCAAAAATGTGTTTGAACTTCCCTGCTGTCTAATCTCAGAAAATAAGAAACGTCAGACACTCTGATGTAGGTCACATGCTTCTGTTGTTGATGCATTTGGGGAAGTGGGTGAAAACACTCTCACATTTCCTACAGAGGAGTTAGAATTCAAGCTAACCTTTGTGGGACAGTCGCTGTCAGCATGTCCGCTGTCTGCTTAAAAATCATGACCATCCTCTGTCTCTCCGGCACCGCCATGAGTGACCCAGGTAAGACTGAAACTAGAGATTAATGTAAGGCAGCATTTAATAAAGCTTTATGAAATGTGAAGTGAGATGTAACAGATTAACAGGTTTGTGTATCTCTCTTTAGGTGGAGTGGTTTTGAAAGAGATTGGAAGAGATGTCACCATCCAGTGCAGAACCCCACAAAAAGACCAAGAGAGCCTGGCTCTGAAAAAAGGTCTCAATATGTCTGATGTTTTTTTCAACAGACATGACTCGGAAAAAGTGACCATTGCAATGGATTTCCAGGGCAGACTTCAGTACAACGGATTGTTCCCCAACATTGACATCCTCATCAAAAATGTGACTTCTAAGGACACAAATACGTACTGGTGCGTGTACAATAAGTTTGGGAAACCGGTAATCAAAAATGGAGAAGGATCTATTTTACTGGTGGTGAGAGGTGAGCCTTTATAATTTATGTGTATTCACAAACCTTCACAAACAGACTTAATTGTTGTCCTGTATAACGATATATGGCAACCATGAACCATGAGTTCTAAACTACCCTGAACAATCTGAATCGTTACTCTAATTAAATGTATTATGTCAACAGATTTCACATTAGGTTAGTTGGAAGCATTCATATTAAGTTTGAATAAAAATATTAGGTTCAACTTAATATTATTGCTTTTAACTTGCCTAATACAGTTATGTGACATTTAATTAAAGGCAACATTTCAGTATTTTCAGTGATGTTACTAATTCAGAGGGGAAAGGTATAAAATAAATCTAAATTAAAATTGTTTTTTTCCAGAACCTCGGACAGGCAGTTCGGTGCCGTGTGACCAATCCAACAACAACAACAACAACAACAACAACCTGATCCTGGTGTTGGTGGTGATCGGTGCTGCGGTGCTGCTCGGCATAATCATTTGCTTCCTCGTCTGGATCATCACCAAGGTACCTTTGTGTTTTACCGTGTGTTTCTGCATTTACCTATGACTCACAAACCCTTATGAAATGTTCAATTTTCCTGTTTTCTCATAGAAACACTCATAGACACGTTATTTGTGTAATTGTAACTGTGACTTTTACATATAGAATAGTGTCTGAAAGAGAGCAAGATCCTTTTTCATAAGCAACATGTTGAATATAAATGTAAATAAATACATTATTTACATCAACGTTTTTGTTTGCAGTGTGTGGTGCTGTTGAATTGTATTGCATTACCCAGACAATTGTTTCTCTTATTAGGGACATTTCTGTTATTTTGTCCAGCCTATTTTTCTACAGAAAGGTCTCCTTGTATGATACAATATAGTTTATACATAGATGTTAATATGTATATAAATATACACACACACACACACACACACACACACACACACACACACACACACACACACACCACACACACACACACCACACACACACACACACACACACACACACACACACACACGGACTCATTGTCCTACTGGCCTACATCTAACATGTTGACAACATTATCTGTTGTTTCCAGACCAAGAGCCTGCGATCCGCAAAGAAACCGAGAAGAGTCGCCACCAATGATGTGTACGAAGAAATGCGAGGCACAATCAGACGCTGAGGATGTGAACCGGCACGCAAGCGAGCCAAAACTCCACAATCTCTGCAGCACTGAGGCACAAGCGATGCAAGTGAAGCAAAGTTGCAACCCTGCATTCTCTCCAACACCTCTGCAAGCCTTCTGTGTGTCTGGCTGACAGTTAAAACAATAAGTTCCATGAATTTGTTAAAGGAACATCAGGGGAACAGCTGCACTGCCAGTATACATGTGGGCACAATGTATGTATAAGACAGCTATTTTGTTGTTGCACAAATATTACAGTGTCTAATCTGTTTCAGTGGCAAGAACTCAGACCTGACCTGATACGTAACCTTTGTTATGCTGGATTTCAGATTTTTTAAAGTTGTTTTGTACAGAGTTGTTTTTTTGCAGATGATTTACTGTTTGAATAAAGGCAGGGATAATGTGCCATATAAGATAGATACTATGTATTGTAATAATGGTAACTGTGATGTTGCTTCTACATAAATAGAACAATCAGGTGTGGAATTATGTCCATTTGAGGATTTTTTGATTGTTGACATTTGCAGTATGCCAAGATGAGCACTCCAGTGGTTTTGTGGTGCCTCACGATAATGCCAGCCGACACAAAGCACTTGTAATACCTAACATTTGTAAGGTATTTTTATTGTGTTGTATGTCCCTTGAGAGGCCTGTTATGAGGGAATTAAATGAAAGTCTATGTGATCTACAACAAATTGCAGATTTAAAAAAAAAAAAAATGTTAATAATTTCGTTTTAGGGAGAAGGGGTGCGATTAAATAAGAGTTAACTTCTCCCCTTTTCGGATGTGTAATTAAGTAGATTATTGTTTAGATATCATTTAGAATCAGTAATATTTTTGTATTTCAATTTGACACTGCTTAATTGTTATTGTATAATAATTCTCATGTTACATTTTTGTATTATTGTTTTGAACATTCGAAATAAATGTAATCAAATCAAATCTACATATCTACCTTCAATAATAGTACAATCAGATGAAAGAACGCTGACCCTTTGTTTATTCTGTGTTCAGGGTGAGAATTACACGCATGGTTTGGGTGTAAGCATAGCAATGGTTCACTATATATTTTCCAGTAATGCTAGATTTATGAGTGGTGCAGTGAAGATGTCTACTTCTGAGAGGGAAAACTCAAACCTTTAACCCAGCCACCCACAGATTCATCTCCGAGCTCCACTTTAGACTTTGGTGATTGATGAGCAGCACTGGAATTATGTGTATTACTGAAAAAGTGAACAGGTGGTGACATGAGTCAGTAACATACCTGGGTCTTACTGTAAACGTGCATTAAACACTGTCGAATGCATGACAATAAAACAAAGAACAAGCTAGATATATAAACCGTCTACCGTTTTCTAAATTTCATAATGTAAACATGGTTAAAGCCACCAACATCGAACATCAAATCAAACCGTTTGTCACAGTTTTTTGTGTTACACACTTCAACACATTTGATTTTATTTATCAACAAGTGGAAGAACCAACCTTTTGAAAACAGCACAATAATTTACAAGCGGTACCAGGTCGTGTCCAGCACATATTTTCACTAATGTACACACTGTATATTCAAACACTGTAACTCAAGCACCAGCTCCCACTGTAAAGTCAAGACAACTTGCATCAACACCTGAGTCCCAGAGACACTGTATGAGTCAACAATTAAATGTCACACATAGAGAACAAAATAAATCTCATGTTGTGGGAGCATACGAGTCGCGACAATGTTTACTTGTGCGGTATCAAGCTGTGACTCTTTCTCCATCCACATAGAAGCCGAAGCAAAAAGGTGAGAAAATGCATGCGGGGTATGTGTCAGAGTATAGTGGTGGTGAGAGTATGCACAAGCGTGTGTGGGTAAAGGGGAAAACTAAAAACAAGACAAACATAAAGCGAGACATAGGAGATGTGCATTGAGGTGAGAAGTAGCACACAAACGGAAACTAAGACCCCTCTTACAAGAAAGACAACATAAGCAGGTCTACAACAAGATGAGCATCTACACCACAAGGACACAGTTTCTGTACATCAAATAATTTTTGTTTCACCCAATTCAGACCAAGGTTTGTACGTGACCGCAGAAGAATCCTGATTGTGCAACTGCAGCTTTTTCCAAACCTGTCATAACTTGTAATAGGAAATACCAAATGATAAGGTACGGCAGAACGTTAGGTACAAAAATACTGTATAAGCACAGTGAGAGATAATAATCTGCCTCAGTTTTTACAGCCAATAAGAGCTGTGTTCACAAAACCAGAGGATATGACATTTTTACTTCAAAGCCACATTGAGGCCTAGCATCAGGTTTGATCATGAAAATGTTATTATTTTTTTTTCAGCTGTTGCAAAATATACTGTTTTCTGTAACATGTAAGAGTGGAAACTTTAACCTTCACTTGGCGCCTTTTCAGATGTTGGTGGGTGGGGGAAAAAGGTTTTGCTTCAACTTCCTTTTGATAAATCTTTTCACACTAGTCATATAATGTTTCAAAAGTTTAAGACATCTCCTGTATCTCTTGTTCACATTTATGGTTTTCACGTTAGAGCGTGGAACACAATAAGTCTATGGTCTAGGCCTCTTTACAATTACAAAGAGCAAATGGTTGTGTTAAATGTAACATAGATAATCCCGTATTGTGCATCACTTAATTTAATAATAACATATTAATTTATTTTATTTATTTATTATTCTTTTGGGCTTTGACAAACAGTGAGTTTATCCACACGTTTTTTTTGAGAAAAAGTTTGGGTTTTGTTGTGATGCAAACTATTTATTGGAGATTGCTTTGAGGGAAATAAGGCTAGGTTAGAAACTATATTTTCCAACACAAAATAACTGTAAAATCATCAATAACCTCAAAAAGATTCAGTAAGCCTAAAGTATCCTATCTTTATCTTCAAAGAGCTGTGTCAACCTTTTAAAAAAGAAACGCTTGCTCCGTCTCTCGTCCATGCAAAACACGCACCTTCATCTGATTTCTGAGAACTGAGATGACTCAATTAACTTTTTGTTCGACTGACTTCCCTTGAGAACCTGCATCTTCAAACGAGACACAGTGCCTTTAAAAAACACATTCTTTCTCATACAAAAATGTGTTTTTCACAGCCTTTTTCTGTTCAGTAGGACAAGCTTATGTTGGCCAATGTTAGAAAACTTGAGCTAGATATTTCTGTATAGTTGACATTACAGAATCAGTTTGGGGACTTTTTTATATATGTATTTATCAACAGCAAAACAATCACAGGATCGTTGAATATTTCGCTTTTTTAATGTCTAATGTGGTCTGAGTAAAACTGGTCCACCTGCAGCTGCCAGCTGTGTTGATGTGTTTTTTTTATTTCAGTAACAACACTGTGTGACTCATCAGCTAGTTATGTTTTCTCAGTTAAAGAACAATGACAAACATGCCCTAAAAAAAACCGATATTTGTTTTAGGGGAAATTGAAGGGTACCTTATGTAAAAAAATGGACAATCCAAGAACTGTCTTCATGTGGTTTTGCCTCCTAAATTATGTAATAGGTGTTTATGTAAATGTTTTAAAATGCTTGCCAATCATCTGCCCACTGATTAGACCCCAAATATGGATGGCATTAAATATGTGATGCTCGAGGTACAAACCTGAGCATGCTTTTAATGAACATGAATTATTTTAGCAATCCAACCTGAATAAATAATTCAGCCATCACTGCTGGTTATGTCAGATAATACCTGTGTTAATGCTGTGTTGAGCTGTTGAACAGACCAGAGATCAGTGTTAAGAAGGGAAAAAGCAGGCAGCAGCCACCAGAGGTCTCTGCAGCTCAGACCTGCAGCTCTCTGAGGCAGGATGTGGATTCAGGTCTAATGAACATGAAGCAGGTTGCCACAGGGTGACATGTGGAATTCAAAAAGGTTTTAAAGGCTGTGGGCACAGCTGACTATTTGAATAGATGTGGGCTAACTCAACACGTGACCCCACCCAACCACAACGTTTATACTAGAAACAGGACACACACACAGCTTTATCTCTGATTCCAGCTCCTTCACACACACACACACACACACACACACACACACACACACACAACACCACACACACACACACACACACACACACACACACACACACACACACACACACACACACACACACACAACACACCACACACACACACCATAAGCACAAACAAGGAAGAGTTGTATTTTATTAAGCTTTCTATTTTCTTCAATTTCATTTATTTATAAGGGTGATTGTAACGTTTTATAAGTTGTGGGATGACAGTTATTCATTCACATTCGTGGATGCCTCGTTTAAAAGTTGTGCAACAGATCAGATCTGGTTAATTTCAGGATGATTGAGCAGTCCAACGTATGTGTTGCTTCAAAAAGTCTTCCTCAAACCCCAAAGCCCCAATCAAATACTGTTTCAATGACTTTATTCCACCTCTAAACCCTGATACGTGAAAGCCCCCTTGGTTACAGTGGAACCACTCCCCCCCTTCACTGGGCGTGCGTCAGGAGCGCAGGTGTGATTGTATCCATTCCCAACAGACTGTCTCCCAAAGTGGTTCGTGGTCGGATTTAGAACGGGATTAAGTTCAGGAAGTTCAATAACAAGTGAATTTACCTGTGCGCCCAGGTGCGTAGTAGAGAGACAGAGAGAGAGAGACAGAGAGGAAGGGAGGTCACGAATAGCAACAACCGGGAAAAGTTACGGATGCAAACTTCCCATTGACACTCAGTGAGAAACCGGAGCGACTCATCAACTGTTAATCAGCGAATACAAGAGGAAACACCAACAACCATGAAGAAATACTCGTATCCAGGTAAGGGTGATGCTCTAACATAACATGTGGTGCGTTTTCTTTATACGATATCAGCCTATTTAAAGGCTAGTGTTGGTGTGTGAGTGCATGCGGCTGTCAGAGGGTTAAAGACACAGAGTGACACAACTAGGATTGACGTAATACAAGTAAATGTTTAACAGCATGTTGTTGTTTTTTTTATCACTGGTGCTTCACATATGTGAATATTTTAAAGCACTGTTCGGGCGAAGAGAAGGCCTTCACATGGATTTGTGGGTGTGGTTTGTAAAACATTTATTCTCCAAAGGCCAGAAGTCTTATTCTAGCCCTAAACACATGACATCATGACACAAAGGTGAGCTCATTCTTTAAAAGTCTTTATGCAACATTTGCATAAAGACATTTGTTGATAAGCCCTCCCTGAGTAACATAACAGATCAGCTGGGGACACTACATTTGACTAAAACATGGATGTATTTATTGGTGGATGAAAAAAAAGAGGTAACCATGCCATACTGTTTTGATCTTGAGACAGTTTGGTTGTTAATCTGTCTGATTGAGTTTCACTGTGCAGTTAATTCACTCATCCCCACTAACACCCGAGGAATGACTTGATTTATACATCTGCAACAAATCGACACAAGCCTGTTTATGAACATTATTCTGCGACTGCCTGGATGTGATTGCGGTTATTGCGTTTTATAGGGTGTGAGGTTATCTTAACTGGGGCTTTAAATAGCTTTTGCAGCTTTTCAAATATGTCTTGAATATTAGGACTGGGCAGGTACATTATTTAGCTGTCAAAGACTGTTTAGCAGAGAAATGTTTGCCACTTTGCAACAGTCCACCACTAAAATATGCATCCTGACTACTTCTAACATTCCTCTATCTCTTCCATCTCTTATCCTCAAACTCTTGATTTCTCCCACTCATTC